AAGAGATCCAGAAAAGGCAAGGGAAAAAGCGCTTTTCGTTTCGTCCCTTTTTTCGACACCCACGGTCAGTGCTTGATGCCTACTCAGTCTCGGAGGTGTGGCTCGGCTTAAGTAGGTCAAGCAGAGCGGATCCCACCACCCAGGGTGTGGCCGGGTGGCTGGGACCGACTTTTCACTGGTAGGGGTACCGTGATCTGACTGTTGAGGTGTCATGACTAGTTGAGTTTATCAAATTCTGACAAAATCGCTGCGAAGTGGAACAAAAGAAATGAGTGCTGCATCTTTATATATATATATATGTATACGCTGTATAAAAGGCACTCTTTTGCTGACTTTGAAACGTGAGGCCATCTACAACTTCCGCACTCGAGGCCTCCATAAGCTGGGCAACGACCCGCCCATCAAACACGGAGAGCGTTTCAATGATGGGAAGGTGGATCCTCGTGGATGCTATTGGGCTGGAACCTTGGCGCGGGATGAGTCCTCTGAGATTACCTCTGGAGCAGCCACCCTGTACTGCCGAGATCTCGATGGCTCGGTGAAAGCCGTGCTCACAGATCTCAGCATCTCGAATGGTTTGGTTTGGACCACGGACGCTCGGAGCATGTATTTCATTGATACGCCATCCGCTCAGATTGATCGCTTGGATTTCGACCCCAGCTCTGGCACCCTTTCAAATCGACGACCAGTCGTGAAGGGCTTTGACTTCGAGACCACTGGATTTCCAGATGGGAATCTTGGCTGGCAGAGTCAACAAGATGGCGCCAGCATTTCGATTCCACAGGTTACAGTTCAGTTGAACTTAGGCTCAGGCCGAGGGCAATGCAGACACAAGTCCGTTGTATGCCATGGTGTGCTTGTTTCCCAGAGTTCGTTTGTGAGAATGCCTCAGCTTCTGCGGGCAGCTCAGGTGTGCCATTGACCAGGAGGACCCCGATTTGCATGGGATGATGCCGATTTGCATGTTGTGTGACAATTTCCAGCATAGATGTAACATTAATGTCTTAATTATTATCCATATGCCATGCTATAGATGTGCACATGCAGCTATGCACAAGATCGTGGTTATGCTCAACCGTGCTAAGCTACATTCCAAAACCATGATTGGTTTTAGTGTCACGGCCGTTTTTGGTGCAATGCCACCCGTTGAGCAGTAAGTTTCTTCCGGTGAAACATGCTCAAATCCGAATGACTAGGACAGGCTCTGGGTGGCACGTTTCAATGGCGGCTGCTGTGGTTATTACGACCCAAAGAGTGGCAAGCTGCTAGCAGAAGTACGCGTACCTGCAGAGGCCGGAAAACAGGCGTGGGCGATGAAAAAGAGGCCTTGCAAACTCCTTCTTCGCTCATTTGTAAGAGCGAGGAAGCTTTGCGGATATGCTTTTCCTTCAAAGTGCCTCTTGCGGGGCCGACAATAACCTTCTACCCAAGTCATACGAGTAGATCTGAGCCGAGCTTGAGGTGACCTCTGTGGCCTTCGGTGGCAGTGAAATGCGAGATCTATACCTCACCACAGGACGAGAAGGCTTTGATGAGGCCAAGGCCAAGCAATATCCTCTGGCAGGGTCCTTGTTTGTTGTCCCGGCTGCGCTGGCCTCAGATAGCTGATGCGGCTGACCAGAACGACTCTTGAGACTGCTGACTTCGGACTGGTGATGGCAATTGCTCCAGCTGGTGAAGGGGTTGACAGCTTGTCGCTAAGGTGAAGTTGGCTCATATCAGCGGCGGTGTGGCGGGACAGGTGCCCAACCAATTGAAGCTCTCTTGAGGTTGCCTGTGTGGTAGTGCAACCCAGGCCACAAGATTTTGATTCGATCTTTTGAACGTCAGTTGGCCAGTTGGCTAAAAGCCCCATGTTTGTTGGCTTGGAGCTCGGCCAGATACAGGCTGAGCTTTCTTCAAGTGAAAAGGCTAAATTTCAAACAGCCCTGTAGATGTCTAAGCCTAAGCAATGCTTTTTAAAGGAGCACGTGCAGATGATTGTAGGAACATTGAGTTGGTTGAAGACTTTGATAAGTCAGGCTGCAGCGAGGCAGATAAAAGAGTTGGCAATGGGCTCCATGTGACTGTTGGATCCTAGCGGTGGATCGCCACCAGAGTTTGTTCTTTGCAGGTGTCTCCAGACGTTACTAGAGCTGACCTGCAGGCCTTGGCGAAACAAACGAAGAAACCCCGCGTTGGTCATTGCGTTTCAGCGTGTGGTCATTGCGTTCGATGTGATGTCTACTGATGCCGAAGAAGAAACTTGGCAGACATCTCATGCGCAAGCCTTATGTGAGTTGAGCTGGGTAGCTTTATCTCTCAGAGTGGCGCGTCAGAGGCTGAGAGATGTGCGCAGATGTCCCATGTAGCCTAGAAAGAAGGCCGTCAAAAACACCTGAACTACCAACAGCCAAATGAAAGGGAAACCAGCAGCGAAGCATAGTGCAAAAAATGCAGCAACCTCCGACTAGCCACTTCATGACACCAGCTGTTAAAGCCACGGTTCTGGGGTGCAGCGGGCCATGAGTGCACTATGGATTGCCATGTTGTGGCCGTGGAGGTGAAGCCACCCTTGGGAAACTATGCCGTGGTGTCAGCCTCTGGATTGTTGCTTTGCTGGCCTGAGAGGCCTTTGATCCTCACCAGCTGCCTCATTAAACAAGGCAGTCAGCTGGCTGTGACTTTGCCCAATGGTCTGGTGGTCGAAGCTCAGCTGGTGGCCTCTGCACGTTTGGGCGCCTCCTCGGAGGCTTTTCGCAGCTTGGCGTCCCGTGGCTGGCGCTGTGGCAACAAACTCTTTGATATCTCGATGACCAGTGCGCTACAACTCACTTTGTTGCGGCCGAGTTCGAGCCAGTTTGTGGCTGACCCCAGTTCGAGCAAAAAGAGCAAAAAGAGCAAAGAGAAGGCGGGAGAGCATGCCGCGGATGAACGAAGAGAAATCAGGGCAGCAGCACAGGTTTTGTGTACTTGATGTGCTGGCAGTTTGACATGTCAATTAATGTTACTGTCTGGTTGATTGGGGGTTGAGGTGTTGCACAAGTAAAAAGCGTTAAGGATACGTGGTGATACCATAGGATACCCTTGATCAGATTCCCATGGTGGCATCTCGGTGGCACAGATTGCAGCCAGACAAACAAGCACACTCTGGAACGAAACGCACAAAAATTCACCATTCTCCACTGCAGTACATGGGAAGCCTCGTTGCCGCGCTTGTCACACCTTAGCCAGGCTGCTTCTCATGGCAGCCTGGCGATTCCCTCCCACGTCGCGTCCCCACGTCTCGTCCCACGTTTAGGCGTCGCTGTGGCTTTCCTTTTCGGAGCCCGTGGAGCAGTGGATTGGACAGCGGGTGCTGTTGCACTCAGCGCCCTTCGGAGCAAGGGCTGGGAGCTTCTGGTCCCAGCTCAGGGTGGTGATGCGAGGCTGGGCCGAAAAGAGCGCAGGAAGACATGGCACAAGGCCACGTTTTTTTCTGACATGGAAATAAGTGAGGATCCTCGGGCCTGAAACTGGTGGGGCATGAGTCCGCACTCTTTAGGATGCATAAGTGCAGGCGCCAGGGTCTGAAGAATTGTCGGTGTCACAGGTGTGATCTCCAACCTCTCGAGCCCTCCCGGGCTCATTTTGACGGATGCCCCTGGAGCTGAGAGCTCTGCTGGGGGAGCTTTGGTGCTAGAAGGCACCAACGAGGCAGGGTTGGGGTTTGGCTCTTCAATAACAAACTGTCTCCAGGGGTGCAGAGACCAAGTTCGATGCAGAAATTGGTGCGACGTTCATGTTTGCACGTGGTTTGGACACACAACTCACACCCCTTGGCCATGAATGACTATGTCTTTTGTTGTTACTACACGCAGGAAGCAGATTTGTATGGCAGGAAGCTCCATATTTTGTCGTTGCGGATCCGGAGATCACGACTTAGGTCGTGGGACTGCTGGCGCCAACCCTATGCGGCTCCTCAGGACCATTGCGCGTGCAATTGCGCGGCGCGCCCGGGTGTGGTCTCCCACAGCAGAAGTTGTCATTTAGAGCAGCCTGTGTGGGGTCTGGTTCTCCACGTCGGCGCATGGTGACCAACAAAAAGTTGCCGTGGCCGTGATCAGGAGAAGCTGTAGCCCTTGGGATTGTCATCCCTATGCCAGTTGTGCTTGACACCATGCTGGATGATGCGGCATGTGCGGACCCCATCGATCAGCTGGGAACACTCATGACTCACACATGCACACACTTGTTTTAGGTCGTGCCCAACTTTGCCATGAAGATCTTGCCTCTTTGCCAAGTCCACCCAGCACAGTGAGTCTGCCCCCGAGTGAGGTGGGGGAGCTGGTAGGGCTACAGTGTTGTCCACATGCCCTCCAAATACATACAGAGCCAACAATCTTAAATCCATCATGTAGTTTATTGTTAAAAAAGAATGGTGCGAGAGAGGTGACGGTGAGTGCCCTGTAGTGGTGTAGGATGGTGTAGGTATACATATATAATAAACAATTTGGACATGGTTTTGATCTACTTGTGGACCCCTTAGATCTCCCTTGATTCCATCAGAGCGCCAAGCGCACAGGTGAGACAAGGCGTGGCCCTCTTGTGGCTGGACTCCGGCAGCTGGGCTTCTGCCATCGTCTTGTCGAGTGAGGGGCACTTGCTGACCTGCGCACATCTCTTGCTGGGCAACTCCTGGATGGAGCTCCGTGCGGACCGGCCGACAATTTGGTTTCTGGTCGCTTGCGGAACTGCGGGTGTCCCAGTTGGATGATCATATGAATTATTTGTAGCAGTTGAGTCGGGGGGAGCTTCCTGGTCCTAGACATTGTTGTGGGCAAGGTTAGCAAAGCTAAAGCCAAAGATGCAAGCAAGCAAGTGAGCCAGCACTCCGCCCCCAAACGGAATCCACCTAGCCAGTTGCAATCATCGCCTTTGACAATCCTTGACCAGGAGGGCAAGGGGCTGCAGCAACAGCCACGTGCGCCATCGCGCTGCAGGGGGAGTTGCTTTGCAGAAGTCCAGGCTCCGATCAAGTCAAAATGGCAGTGGTTTTTGGAGGACATGAGGGGCGCAAATTGGATTTGGAATGATTTGGAATAATGCATGTATGTATATATGCATTAATCCACACATATAGTACATATATAGTGCTGAGGGAACACTGGGTTTGAAAAGTAGCGCAAAAATAGGAAAGCGAAAGGATCAACGGAAGCAGACGTCTCAGCGTGAAGTCTGGTAGGCGATGCAGATGTAGAAGCCTGGAAGGTAGCTCAAACGGCTGGGCCATAAAGCCAGCAAATACATGAACAAACACCTGTTTTGGGGTACCGCATCATATCCTATTTCACGTAGTGGCAAGATGGTCTTCGTGATGCGGACAGTTCGTCTAGGGCAAGATTGTCTCCGTCACATTTGAAGCGGACGTGCTGCGGATCTTTGATGGCTTCCTTGATGCTGCTTTGCTCCGTGTGAGGCCCGAGAGGAGCTATATTATGTGGCTGCGTGACAATGCATTTTCTGTGATTTTGTGGTGTGTGTGTGTGTGTGTGCGCGTTTGGACCCCGACGCCAGGAGTGAGAAGGAGTACAAGTTCAACCCAGCGCTGTGGAACCAAAGGGCCGATCCCCTCGAGGGCACCGAGGTGCGCAGATTGCAGAAGTGACGGGCAGTGCAGGTTGCGATAGATAGAGGCGAGCCCCAGAGAGGGAGAGAGAGGTATATAGTATAATTATATATATATATATATGTACACTAAGTGACTTGCCTGTAGAACCTACATACATAAGACACAGCGTGCTTGTCGCAGAAATTGGAGAGAATCCTCCTTTTGGCCTTTGGTCACTCGTTGCTTTGAGGTCTGGGCTGTCGGACATGGCCTTTTCGGCCCTGGATGTCCGTGGAAGGGCCCTGCTGTGACTTCAGGTGCCAGAGCTGCACTGATGCCATGACCCGGTGTTAATCCATAGAAAGAGTCACAGTGCGAGGGAAAAGGGCTGAACAAGCAGTGTATGCCCGCGAAAGGCGAAACACCCCACGCGATAGCCTGTTGCCAAAGGCAGTTCCAATAGGTTTTCGCCACAGCTCAGAGAGAGAGAGAGAGAGAAAAAGACACAGAACCGCCTCAGAGCTGATGCCTTGTGGCGACTGAAGTGTCGGGAGAGCTTGGCTTTGAGCCATTCTAGCCATCATTGGCCAGTGAATAGGAACTGGCGAGTTACAATGAATCTATATTGAGACTGTCTTCTGTCGAGCACAGAGGCTCCACAGATCCTGTCGGGTGCTCAGGCCTTCTCTGCAAAGTGGTGCGGGCCTCCTCAGGGCGGCGTGCCATCCTTCAAAGTAGCGCAGCGGTACACCGCGGGTGTAGTGGCGGGGCCCTAGTGGCCAATGGGCAGCCTCTTGGATATGTTAGCCGGAAGGCACACGGGGGGCACGGGCACAGGCAGACCAAACTTATATCTTCAAGAAAGGCTGAAAGAACACTCCAGAACCTTGGGCCCTAGTCATTGTTCAGGACTGGTTCGCTTCACTTTATTAAAAACATGTTCCAGTCGACTCAACCAGCTTGTCGGACAAAAACCGCTCTTGATGACCATGGAAAGGTGATCCTCTGTCATGTAAGTCAGGATGTGCTCGAACTGCCTGACGCTGTACATCCGCTGACACTCATACTTGACCTGCGAGTGCTTAGCCATGAACCACGCAGAATACGTTAAGCACCCTTAAGCACCTTTAAAGGGGGCCTTGTTAAAGGATGGGCCAGGCTCAAGCACCCTTGTGTTTTGGCCTCTCTTTCTTCAATACCTTTGCCACATATTTGCCCAAACCCCAGGTTTCCAAGGGATGGCCGCTGACCGAAACGGTCCTTCCAACGGCTGTTGGCTGCGTCTGCTGACGGGTGTCGTCATTCTGCCACCACAAGAAAGTTTCCCACAACCACGTGGACAACAGAACAAGGTTACTGTAAGATTATTTTTCCCTTGTCGCCTTGTGGTTAATTAAGGGAAATCTTTGGTGGTCAAGGTTGACGATGGGGTGTGTTTGTCGTGCCATTCAATAAAAGCTTGCACAACAATTCACACAACACCCCCAAACAAGTAACTGCAGCATGATCATGAAACAATCAGCCAACACAACCCCAAACACGAGGTTACCCTTACGTGAGCTTTAGACATCCGCGTGCAGTTCTCTAAATCACAGATCACCGGCGGCTTTGCTTGGTGAATGCTTGAGGCTGTTAGGCATGGTCACCACCAACGTCAAGCAACAGGTGCCCTGTTGGAGAGAGTGGCAGCAGAGTTCTGCGAAGCAAGAATGCCTATTGAAGTCTACCGATAGGCCCCGATACGCTGGTTCTTGACTTCAAACCCGACAGGATGGATTCGTCATGCCGCGTGTGAACTTCATCCTGCCCGTGGGCCTGCTATCTCCTGTTTGTACATATTTGGAGAACCTGAAGGTTCTACCTGCGACGGAGGCACTGGCAAGATTGACCGAGGACTTCTTGGAATTGAGTTGTTCGACGCTGTTCGCCTCTTTCAACCCTGCATAACGTGTTGACAACTCTTTTTCGGGTGAACCCGATCAGAGAGACATGATCAAACATTTGCCTCTACGGATGTTCCCACATCTTCTTTTTTTCACATTTGTTCCAGGTTTTCCAGGCCTCAGGCAGTGCCTGTCAGGCAGCTCTGAGTCGTTCGAAGTGGTCTGAGGAGCTCCGGCCCTCTGCGGCAGATGAGGAGGAGCGCTCCTTCTGGCGCTTGGATGTGGAGCGTTTGAAGCTACCCAGCCGCCGCTCGGGTTGGAACGTGAAGACTCGCCGTGGGTTTGAGATGGTTGAATAGTTTGGTCTTGGGAATGGGAAGTTTTCAGAAGACGTGGGACATGTAGATTCTTGAAATCCTTTGCGCCCTAGGCATTGTGGAAGCAAGACGTTTAGAGTTTAGAGTCAGAGTTTGGATTTAGATTGATCGACTCATCAAAGCTACCGCAATGAGGGTTTCTGGATGTTTTTGGAAAGGAGTCATGTGTGGGGTGAATTCAACTCCTCCTTGTTTGTTTTTGCTTCTATAATATATCTGACCCAAAAGCAAGATGACAGATATGAGGAATTGCCCAGGAATACCGCACAAGTATCCCCAGCGTGTTTTTGTTCGATTGACTTCGGTGGAGCTGGTCGGCACAAGGAGATCTATATAAATGAAGAATATCTCTTTTTCATGTGTTCCAAAAATGAGCCAGGTGCCAACAGGGAGAAGTCGTTCTTGATCATTTCAGTTTCTCAATAATCCATTCACAATCCAAGCTTCGAACGGTCGCACGTCTTAGGAATGGCTGCCAGGCAGCTCAGCTCGGTTAAAGTGGACACAAAAGGGAGATGCAGAAGTTCATTTTGGCATGGTTGTGACATTTGGGGTGTTTTTTTTTTTGCCAAGGAAACGGCATGCGTTGAAGCGGCTGGAGCTTTTGGAGAAAGAAGCGAAAGAGGAGGCGCTGTGGACGTTGGGTTCGGGTGCCTTTGACCAACAACACCCGTGGCAGGCCAGTCGGCAAGATGCTCTCAAAGCAGAGACCCGTACGTCATCAACTTCTGTGCGCTCCAAGCTGTGAGGAAAGGCTCGACCTTCAATGCGCATAAGCTATAGCATATGTTTCACCTGCCATGCCCTGGGCCGCAAGTGTGCGTGTTGAGGCTCTAGCCATAAATCTCAAAGGATGAGTCAGAAAAGGAAAAAGGCTGCAGGGTTGTCGCATGTTGAGCTGGGTGTAAACAAGGATCAAGATTGATCGACCAATGTTTTCTTCCAAGGGTAACTCAGCGTGTTTCCCTGCATAGCCGGAAGAGTGATTGCGTTACATTGATGCAAAAGATGTTCATGTAGACATGCGCGAGACCCACGCCGCAGAGAGAAGCAACGATATCTCAGATGGACCCTCACTAGCGTAGCGGCAACATCCTGCATTTGGTGTTCTGGAAGCCGTTCTGTTGCTTGCCCAGCATATTGAAACTGGAGGGTAGGGGTGGTGACCGGGTGGTGGGGATGTGGTACGCTGACGAAAGTAGCAACCAACCGTTGAATCAGTGCAACATATGCCCAGAGTACATATGTCAGACTTTGACTTCGAGGCCAGCTGGCATTCAGAGTTGTGGATCTTTCGTGCTACGCAATAGACATGCACTGGAGGCCTACTTCTGCAGATTTGGTGAGCTCTCGGATTGCTATGCTGAAGCCTCAAATGATCCAAACTTCCAATTCTTGCAGGAATCGTATTTGTCGTGCCCAGGTTCCGCCTGGCAACAAGGGGATTGCGTTTGTGAGCTACAAGGACCCAAACAATGCCTCTAGCCCAGAGCAGTTGTGGAAGGAAGGGGGTCCTTCCACGAGCGTGAACCTTCTCAACAGGCTTTCTGCCATAGCAATGCCGGCAGTCACTTTACGAACAAGCATCTCTAGTGTTCAAAAAATACAGAAACGAGAATAACGAGAGGGTGTTGGTTGTCCAGGTGCACCGGGTTCGGTGCGGAGTGCTCGTCAACCCGCCTTATGCGTTCTAACATGTTCTAACTTCATTTAGCTCTACTTTGTTCCCCAATATCTTGTTAGTTTATGATAGCTTGACATCTTTAGCTGTCGGATCCACAGCCCGCCGGCTGGTCGGGTGGCGTCCCGGTGTCTCGATCATGTTTGGGTGGTCTCTCCGTTGTGCTGTTTTAGTGGTGTGTTGGCAATGTTTTTGTAATGTGTTGGCAATGTTTCGGTTTTGTTTCGGTGGTGTTTGGCTCATGTTTGGTTGGTGTCTCACTTAGGTTTTGTTGTGTCTCGGTCTCAGTCTCGGTGCGTGTATGAACGTTGCGCTTGCATCTCCATATGCCTGGTGCACAGTGCGCGCGGGCACCTGAATTCAATTTGCGCTTGAAGGTTTGCATGTCCTACCGCGTGTTGAGCTCAAAGTGACCCTCAGATTTTGTTATTATAGACCGTTCTCTTCCATAGTATAAAATATCAACCTATCTGAAAAGCCGCATTTTAAACATGGGGTCCAAAAAAGTCAGTTTGGTCTAAAAATGGGTGCCGACATTTGATTCTATAGAGAGGGCACGCCATGTCACCAGATTTTTCAGAGGTCCTAACATTTGATTCTACAGAAAGCATCTGGGGCAGTAGAAGGTGAGTTTAGAGTGGATGGTGTGTTGTGCGGTCAGGTAGGATTTTCAACCTTCATATGTCAATGTCAACCTCCATATATTTTTCTAAAATCAATTTCAACCTTCATATGTCCCCACACTGCTCTATAGAATCAAAACCAACCTTGGCAATGCATCATTGATTTTCTAATTTTTTGCTATCAAACTTTCATGATGATGAACACCCATACCCTGAGGCACTCGATTCTATAGAGAGTATGTTTCCAGCACTGCAGGAGGTTGATGCTTGATTGCTGCCCTCGGAGCCTGGTTTTTCGTTTTATCACTCTAAAATCAAGTCTCAAGGTACACCGGTAATTCCACTTGACCTGGCAAACCAGCCCCAAAAGCAACAAGAGGCGGGGCGCGGAGCTCACAATGCTGCACCCTTGTTTTCATCTTGAGCCAAAAGTAAAGCGAAACAAATGAGGCTTGTCAGTTGTTCAATCAGACATCCTATGATATCCTGTGAATCGTCTCACTCTTTGTCCGCGTGGATATTGCATCCCAGATTTCCAGCGCAGGCGCTAGACTTTTTGAACCTCTTGTGGCAGGCGCGGTTTTTGTGAACCTTGGAGTGCAGATTTTGTGGCAAGCACAGCGCAATGTGCGAAGTCGGCAGTGCGGCAGGCGTTGTGCGCCAGGCAGTGCCCGGTGATGGAGCTTGTCTTTTTCATAGCTTCAAGTGTGCTCATGCACGTGTCTCCGACCGGCCGACTAACCCTCGCGCCTTGCGAGCTGAAGTGGTCACGCACCTGACTCGTCACCGTGATCGCTATGAAGTGCTCTGGAATGGATTTGTCCCCGACGGCTCGAAGTGCAAGGACTTCAACACCTATTTGAGCCTTATTGCGAGTGAAGATGCTTATGCCAGTGACCTTGAAGTAGCTGCTCTAGAACGGCTCTACGACGTCAAAATCGTTGTGATACCACACACTTTGCAGTTTCCTGCGGTTGCCTTGCACATCAAAAAGCAGAAGCGCATTGTGGGCTTGTGGTGGGACCTGGGATGGTGTTCATTTCGATCCGCGATTGCCCCCCACGGGTGGCAAACTTCCATATGCTATGCGTGGTGGCGGTGATGACGCTAAGTCAGTCAAGACTCGTTGGACTGACGACCTGCGCCCAGGAACTGTGTGGACTGGTAGTACTGATAGTGAGAATGCCACACTGCAGCAGCGACCAATTTCTGTGTTGACATCCTCATGTGCAAGCATGCGCCGAGTCACTGGCAAATCAGATGCCTCATGTTTGTGGTCCTTAGGAGTGCAGCCGGATGCCCAGAGTGAACCTGCCTCTCCTTGTGCTGCTGATGCCCTTGAGCTGGCAGCTGATGATCAGAATGCGCATGAACAGAAACCTGATCGAGGAAAAGTTTGGCCTACTTTGAGGTCGTGATGCCTGATGCGATTCGTGTTGAAGACCGCGTTGAAGGTGTTGCTTGGAAGTGTCCTTGCCCCAAAGGCATCCCAGCAGTGTGCGCAGCTTAGCTCCCGCAACTTTTGGGCGGCCAAAGTGCAGCGCGCGCAACACGAGCATCCGAAGGTCCCCAAACGGACTTGGAGCAAGATCCAAGGCTCGGCACATGTGGCTACCAAAGTTGGTCGTCAACGATGCCGGGTTCGATTGCTCAATGAAAGTGCGGCTCAACTGAAGAAGAAGCAGTGTGGCAAACATGAGTGCATTTCATTCATGTGGCCTGACATCATTCAGTACAACAAGAAGCGCAAAGGTCGCAAGTGTGTGACTTTGCGTTGAGCTTGGCAGTGCGCTCAGTGCCTGTGGTGTCAATACGCGCAGCGATCGGCTCGCTAAGTTTCCTTGTGGCGCTGGCCTTTTCTGTCGTCGATAAGCGAACTTTGGCAAAGCTTGATCTGACTGAGAAAGCAGCAAAGAAGATTGATGGTTCCATGTCGCCAGAGGACTTGGCCGGTGTGTTTGCTTCGGCGCGGCGGGTGTTGAGTGGTGAACCTCTGACTCGCACGCCGTGATGCAGTTGGGTACCTGGTACCATTAACGTTCAGTCGGGTGATGTCAAACCTCCAGCTGTACATGACTTCTGGACTGATTTTGGCTTTGATTTGTTCGCTTTGCAGGAATGCTCCGTTCCTTCGCGTGGTCGTGCTTCCTTCTGTGAGTTGGCTTCCACTGCATTTTGGGCGGGGCTTGTCCCTGTGATGCGGCTGGACGCACCAGTACAGCTTTGCTTTCCAAAGTGCCAATTCGTGAAGGTGTCCCTCACGGCATTTCAGATAGGTCTAGTGTCTAGAGTGGCCTTCGGGGTCATTGAGCTTTCGGGTGACACCAACTTACGCGAGAAGTATGGTGGATGTGCTGGTTCTGGGGTTCAGCTGGTTGTTGCTTGAGGATTTCAACTGCTGTACAGAATGATGAGGCTGAGCTCGCCCGGTTCCTTTCAGCAGGTCGTGCAGCTTCGTTGGACGAGAATTTTGTGGATTTGCCGTTTCTTCTCGTCCTGGTGGCAAGCGGAGACTTGATTTTGGTGTGGCATCGCCTTCGTTTTTCCCTCTGCGACGTGGTCAAGTTGCGGGGATTGGTGACCATGATGTGGTGTGAGGTACGTGTTTGACACACCCTGTCCTGATGGATGCTATGTTCCTCGTCGCGCGGCTAAAGTGGTCGACGGATGGGTTCCTCACGAGCTCGTCAGGCTGGTGCCTTAAGATCGCGGAACGGTCATGCTCACCGCTTGGCCAACACAAAACGTGTTGCTCTTCAGCTCTTCACTTGAATTCTGCAAGGAGCTCTTGATTTCAAGAAGTGGAGAAGTGCTCATGATTGGGAGATGTCAGTGTTGCAGGCTGCTTCGTGGTACAAGGCGATCGCCCGCAAAGGGCATGCCTTCGCGTAACTCTCCAGCGGTACGGAGACCGTAGCATTACCCCGGCAAGAGACCCCAAACAGTGTGTGTGAGGTCTGCAAGCAGAAAGTCTAGAGATCTAGACGCATTGAAGTGAAGGTGGGTGTGAGTGAGTGTGGGTGAGGTGGAGTGTGAGTGTGAGTGAGAGTGGGAGAGTGAGTGTGAGTGCGAGTGTGAGTGAGAGTGAGTGTGGGTGAGAGTGAGAGTGAGTGTGAGTGCGAGTGAGCGTGAGTGAGAGCGAAGGTGGGTGTTAGTGAGTGTAGGTGAGAGTGGGAGTGTGTGTGCGAGTGAGAGTGGGAGAGTGAGTGTGAGTGAGTGCGAGTGTGAGTGAGTGTGAGTGAGTTCGAGTGTGAGTGTGAGTGTGAGTGAGAGTGAGTGAGAGTGAAGGTGGGTGTTAGTGAGTATGGGTGAGAGTGAGAGTGTGTGCGAGTGAGAGTGAGTGTGGGTGAGAGTGAGTGTAGTGAGCGAGTGTGAGTATGAGTGAGACTGAAGGGTGGGTGAGTGAGTCTGGGATCCTGCTGTTGACCTCAACCAATCAATCAACCAACCAACCAACCAACCAATCAAGCAGGCGCAATGCTGATTGAGTCTCGAAGTGCAGATTTCGTGGCAGGTGCGGCGCTTTGTGAACTTTGAAGTGAGAAGTCGTGGCAGTGCTTTGTGAAGCTGAATTGCTAATTTCGTGGCAGGCGTAGCGTTCTGTGAAGGTGCAGCCACCTGTGAGCGCCTCACGCGCTTGCTCACATTCATCTCTTATATTTGTGATCTCACGCGTGTGCGTTCATATTATGTGTGTTAGACAGGTGTGCTTTTTTACATGTGCTCTTTGGTATGCGCTGATGTGCGCGCTCTCTCTAATTTGTTTGCTCTCATGTATTTGCTTTCAGGTTTAGGGTCTCATATGTGCGATGTTCTCAGGTGTGTGCTCAGAGTGCGGAGGTTGGCTTATCCACTTCACCGTTGTTTTCTTCTGCTTAACGCTGTTTCGGAATCTCTTGTTGGGATTTTGATAGCTAACTTTGTGACTGCGTTTCAACAAGTTGTGTTGGTGGAAATTGTGTTTGACATGAAAAACTGCTCCCTTGACACTGTGTCTAGCGTTGTCCGTGTATAAATCATGCATTGGCGCATGTGCGTGCGTTCACTGCTTGCGTGTGTATGTTCTGCTTATTGTTGGGCAACATCTTCTTTGCTTGCGAGTGTTCGCCAATACTTGCAGCATGTTCGCTTTGACAAAGTTGAGAAATCACAGGGAATCCTACCCTTCTCATGTATGGCTCATACATGTCATGTTGCATTGTCTCATTTTGCTTATGCACCTTGTATATTTGGCTCAAGCGCTGAAGAAAATTAGCTTTGGTTGCATATTAGTCCTGTACCGTTGAGGTTGTGTGGTACTTTGGATTAACTGGTTAACAGCCTCACCCGTACGTATCTCGAGAGCTACACTTGATTGAGCCCAGGTTTAGCTTCATTCCATATTCTCTTGGGTGCCCAACTGCCAGTACACATTTCAATTTGCGTGTCCGTGCATAGGCCTCCAAGTGTGCAGCAAGCTTCGAAGTATCCGCAGAGGAGACATTCGGCGCCGTCTTGGTTGTTTGCATCCTTTGCAGCTCCAAGAGTTCAGATAAACTATCCATCCATAAAGGAAGAGTAGGTGAGTGATCGCAATCTTTGTTGAGCCTTTGCCTACTCGTAAGACAAGACCCTTGTTCCTTGCAAAGCAATAGATAAGTGATCAGGTTCGGGAGCGATTGCCGTTTTGGGAGTGGGGTTGGCCGGAGAGCAAGACGATTGTGCTTCCTAGGCTCAGTGCAGCTGACGATACAGTTTCAGTTGACAGCAGGTCGGAGGTTGAGACTCTTGCGATATCTTCGGACGAATCTTCACCGGAAGAAGCGGCGGCTGCTCCGAGCGAACCTGCGCGTCCGCCACCGAAGGCGTGTCCGATTGCTGTTCATTCGAGTGAACCTGTACGTCCACCGCCAAAGGCACGTATCACTCCGAGTCGAGCTGCATATCTTCCGCAACTCCGATCGCTCCGAGTCGCGCTGCGCCTTCTGCGCCAAAGGCGCCTCCCATCGCTCCGAGGGTTGAGCAGACGGTCGAATTGTGGGATCCAACGATCTTGAGGATTGGGGCAGAAATCTACGATCAAGAGGGTCAGTTGATTCAGGCAGTACAGCCTCGCATTGATCAAGTCCCATTCATCTCAATAGATTACCATCAAGTGCTTGACAGGTGCAATTTGTCGAGGCGTCAAAGTTTGCGACTTACCCTCCGTGGGCAGTTGCATCAGCGTGTCTTGGACGGGCTTACAGCAGCAGCTCAAGGTGCTACATTGCTTGCATTGTCCTATTGCCACGCCGAAGACACCAGACAAAACGTGCGGAGAGCTCTTGTGGCATTGCCTCAGTTTGAGTACGTGGTCATTTCAGACGACAGGATCAGACATCGCGGCAAGCTGCGTGTTCTTGAACGGCTGATTAGTGACAGGTGCTTGAACATGGGCCGGGTCTACCACATTGACGACAGTTGGGAAGTGCTGACAGAGGTGCGCGATTCTCAGCGGATTGTTCCAGTCGGTATTCGGACCCACAATCGGCAGCGGAGGATTGACGGAGTGCAGTATTGTGACAACATCTTGGAAGCATTGGACTACGTGGCTTGGTTGGACGCTCAAGCTGGGCCGTAGTTTGATTCGAGTGTTGTCGCATAGCTCAATGCTCGACTGATAGGCCAAAGAGCCCAATTCGTGCGGCTATAAAAGTGTGCTTTCACCCGGTGTTGTCTGCATCTTTGCAGCTCACTGAGTCATAGATCTAACGAGGGATCGCGGGTGAGAGCATTTTGCTCGTGAGTTCCGCCTTCAGACATGCCAATGATTTCCGAAATCATGGATGATTCGGGGAAAGGGTCAGAAGAGACATCACTGCAGATTTCTAGTACATCACCTGGGGTGACTCATGGGAGGGCTTTGCAAGTGCGAAAGGCATCCAGTAGCAAGAACTCTAGTAAGACCAGCCGTCCTCTAGTTCTGGATCCTCCAAGTTTGCACCATTAGCTCAAAGACCAAATCCGTTGGCGCTCACACCTGTCGGGTCTCGTAGAAACAAAGGGAAACCAGGTTTGCCGGTGGAAAGACAGTCATCTCAAGGGTCAAGTGAGCGTAGTGAAGCGTCATTGCTGAATCATTGCCTCTTGCACAGGTTTCGCATCGGGGAGTCGGGTCCATTGCTCCAACTGATGCCGACATGAATGGGCAACCATCGACGTCGGTCAACGTCCAGAACGTCCAACAGCAGTACTATGACCAAAGGACTCTTAGTGTGACTGTTGGGGTAGATCCTCAAAGAGTGGTAGAGCATGTTCAGTCCGTAGAATCCCAAGCTCATTCAATAGTCCGTGAAACACAAAGGCAAGCCGAGCAGGTGGTTCATGATACACAATCACACGCGCAGCAGTATGTCCATGAAATCCAGTCGCAAGCAGCCCATGTTGTTCAGGAGACCCAGAAAGACGCCGAGATCGCCATCCATCAGGCACAGTCGCAGGCTGCATCTGTTGAGGATAGGGCCAATCAGGTGATCCGGGACATGAGTACGCAACACAGGGCTGAGCTCAACCGAGCTCAAGACATTGCCAATCAGGTGCAGCTTCACGCTCAGACCCAGCTGCATGAAGCAGATGCAAAAATTCAGCAATTGATGGCAATGGTGGAGTCGCAACATAGGACTCTGGAAACTCAAAGGGTTGAACATCAAGAGACGCTTGCTCAGGTCGCCGCATTGCAAAGGGAGGTGACCATGCTAAGACACTCAGTGTCAACCCCAACTCCAGCGGAAGACCAAAATGGCACGGTCAATCAAAAGGAGTTGATGAGTGTGATTGAATCATTGCGTCAAGAGATCAGACAGACTCAGACCAAGCCGGTTCAACCGCCTATGATAGTTCCAATAGCCACGCCACCATATGATGCATTGTCAGCTTGTGCAGGTTATCCTCCGGGTCATCCCCATCCAAACAATTCACCGATGAAGTTCCCAGAAGGCCCAAGTCCATCTCAATCACCACCACCAAATCCAACTCCCTTCAAATGGTCAGAAACCGCCACATCCATTCCGCAAGGAAGCAGCGGCTCGTCAAGCTCTTCGTCAGGGGGGCCACCCGGTCCTCCGGGCAGAGGTCCTGGTGGTGGCGGGTCGCACGGGGGCAGTTCACCCCATTCCCAAAGGGAGTGGCACAGTGTTGGGGTTGGATCAGCAGATGTCCTCGCAGAAGAATCGGTGTATAGGTATAAAGCCCTTCAATCGATCAAGATAGACAGTCTGCCGCAAGATGCTGGTGCATATCGGGGATGGAAGAATTGGGTCATCACGAAGCTGTGTTCGATTGACGTGACAGGACGGGACATAATCCTAGGTTGGATCGTGGAAGCTCTAGACCCGACTGCTGATCTCAATGCAAGCGCTTGTACAGCTTTGCCGCGACTGGAAGCATACATCGCCGCGGTCCTTGCTGAACCGAAACATCTCAAAGGTGACTTGGGTGTTCAGTTCCAAGCATGCTGTGAGCAATGCTAGCAATGTCAGCATACTGTGATTCATGCTTCAGATGATTGCAAAACGGTTTCAACTAGATCTCAACCGTGGGGCCAACCTGACACAACAGTCGTTGTTGGAGTTGTCATTGGATTCATACACTCAAGAGGGGCTCTCAAAGTTCATCGAAAGAATTGAACTGGTGTTGAACTCCATTCCTCCTTCACATCAGCCGAGTGAGATGACAAAATTCACATGGTTATTCAGTAGGCTCAAGCCCTGTCGCAACATGCAACGCTTCATCGATCGTATCAAAGATGCACGGGAGGGATCTCATGTCAAGACTTGGGATTGGTTGTATGATAAGTTGCAACGGGTGGTCCTAGAAATGCGTGAAGATGCAAACGAAGAATCAGTCAGACGTGCGCTTTCTCTGACCAAACCCAAACAAGATCGACCAAAGGGAGACGGCAAGGGTAAGGATCTGAAAGCTAATGTGGCTGTTGACACGGATGACAAGGGTACAAAGGCATTACCAGGTCCCACGAAGCCAAAGCCAAAGGCGAAGGCTGACTCCAAAGGGGGCGGAAAAGGAAAGGAAGGTGGCAAGCAGCAGCCAAAGGCTGCCACGCCGAAGTCACAAGTTCCCACCTCAAAACCAAAGGCAAAGCCTAAAGCTGAGGCGACAGCGACTCAGGATCGCTCCTCAGTGCCGCGTTTGTTCTATCCAAATGGAACATGCAGTCGGGGTGAGAACTGTCCTTTCTTCCATGACCCAAAGGCAAAGCCGGCAGCAAAGCCAAAGGCTACCGCTGCCACCAGTAGTGCCAAGGCCACAGTTGCGGTGATCTCAGCTGCGCAAGGGGTGTCGCGAGCCTCAGCAGAGTCATCGGCCTCACAAACTCATGCCTCGAGTGGTTTCGGGTGGGAGATGGTGCAAGCATCACTTCGGGCATTCGCAAGACCGTTCATGGCATTGGCGTCCTTGTTTACATGCATTGGTCAATCACAGTTGTCTGCACCCTGTGCGGCTCTGTGGGCGTCCCCTGCAGTCGTGTCGCATGACAGTAGTGTAGCATTGAGCGCAAAGATGTCTGATTCGTACATGTTGGAGTGGATTGCAGACTCAGGAGCAGGTCGAGACTTAGCGTCCGAGCGTGCATTTCTAGAGCAAGGGGTTCCCATATCCTTTGTACAGAACGGTACTCAGTCCTGCAACCCAATCAAGTGCGAAACAGGAAACGGAACATATGTTAGCGACGCCTGTATTGAGATGCCGGGGTCAACGTTTGGCAAAGCCTCGTTCCAGGTCATGGATGACTGTCTTCTTGTCAGGTCCTTGGGTAGGATAGTGGAGGAAGAAAAGCGGCCATTCATTTGGATGCCTGGCAGTCAACCATTCTTTGGTCTCAATCCAGACTCGGTTCCCATCATCAGTGCAACACGTGTGGAAGATGGTATACCAATCTTTTCTGAAACGTTCACAGCAACTTCATCCTATGCTCTAGCTGCTGGTAGCCCGGCCGATCCTGATGCGCCAGGTCCTGCGCGGGAGATTGAGGACGACGTGATTGCCGCCGATGCAGCTTCAGAGGACGATGCAGAAGAGCCGGTGAATCGCTACAGAAGATTGGCGATAGAAGCTCAGTCACTAGAACACCGAATGTGTCACTTACCGAAGAATCCAACGTGTCCCATATGTCAACGTTCAAGAATGTACAGAAAGTCTGTAAGAAAACTGCGTCATGATCCCTTGACAGACAGAGGAGCACTAGAACCAGTGACTCACTTTGGACAGAGAATCGCTACGGACTTCATTGTAGTTCAGAAGCTCGGTTCGGGTAAAGAACATGTAGTCCAGGTCATACGAGATGAACATAGTGGTTGGCTAAGAGCTTTACCCCTAGCTAGGACAGATACCCCAACTGTTGTCGGCAACGTCCTTTCTTTCCTGGGACCTTCGTATGATCAGCCCTCTGTGATGGTGAAGTCAGATCAGGCACCGGAGAGAAGAGCCGCATGCAAGCAACTTGGATGTGTTTTTGAGGGCTCACTTGAAAACAGGTTCCCCCATAATTCGTCTTAGAAAGAGACATAAGAACCATCGAAGAGATCGCTCGTGCGTGCCACCTTCAAGCAGGATTTGACGATTTGTGGACTCACTCTGTTGAATATGCTGCCACGATCATCACCGCCATGCACGAGCCTGCAGGTAAAGATCAGACGAGGCACTTCTTAGCCACAGGTGCAGAGTTTTCTGGTCGGAAGTTGCTGCTTGGACAGCTACTGCATTATCGTGTAGATCCGTTGCAGCGAGGAAAGTTCGATGCTTCTACAAAACCTGGTTTGTTCTGTGGGTATCGATATGATGCAGGTCCAAACTCGTTCAAAGGTGTATATTATGTAATAGACTACGCAAAGGTAAAGAACAAGGATACCACCTATGCAAAAGCTATTGCAGTCCCACTGGAAGAACTCTATGTTGAGGAGAAGGATCCAGTCCTGCCGTTGAAACAAGCAGCAGACACAGCACTGGCTACCTTCACTGATGCAGCATTGGCTGACATCACCCCACTAGATGTCCCATTCAGTAGTGTTTCAATTGAAGCAACCGCGAAACGTAGTGAATACATTACTCTCGACCGCATCATTCGCTTTGGTGCAACAGAGGGTTGTCGTGCATGCAGGTTTGAAGCGCCGAATAGCAGACACACCCCCATATGCAGAGCACGGTTCAACGGGCTGGTTCGAGCAGAGAAGATTGCCAATTCTCCTGCACCAAAGGAAGCAGAGCCAAAGACTCCTGCACCCGTCCCTGAGACGCCAGCCTTTGCTCCGTTGACTCCAACCATCGCGGCTGATGAAGCAGCCCCAGCGTCGAGTTCTGCAGGTATTGTGCCAGAAGAACCGGAAGTTGACCCAGCATCGTTTTCGGCAGGCATAAAGCCAGGAGAAGAGTACAAAGAACTTGCTGGTCTAGCTGCAAGAACCAACAATGTTATCGATGAGGAGTTTCTTCAGAGCAATGTCAACAGGCGGAGATTCTGTAGGATGAACTCCTTGGCTGGTCACAACACCGTCTTTGAATACGCATGCTCAAGTGATTCTGCTCTAGGACATGTGAGTGCAGCCATTGGAGTTGAGTGCATAAGATTGTCTAGAGACACCATCAATCTCGCAGATTCCAAACAGGTTGATCAATTGCTTCAACAGGTTGATTTGCGCCCAGGGGCTGATGGTTGGATCAGCTTGCCGTGCACTGACTACACACCATGGCAGCACATGAACATTTACCGATATGGCGAAGCCTTTGAAAGAAAGCTTCAAGAAAGAAGAAAGAAAACCATGAAAATGTTCAAACAGGCCAAACGTTTTGCAAGAAAGATCCTTGAAACTGGGGGTAGGGTAGCGCTCGAATGGCCAGCTGACTCGGGTTGGTGGGACTTGAAGGAAGTCCAAAAGTTTGAACATGAACATTGTTTCAGAAGAGTTTATTTTCATGGGTGTATGTTAGGAGTACATGGAAAAGAATTGCCAATCAAGAAACCTTGGTGTGTGTCAACTTGTGATGAGCGGCTGATCCAGATCTTCTCTCAGTTTCGTTGCGATGGAAACCATCAACACGAAATAGCAGAAGGGAATCAAACCACTCAAACAGGGTTCTACACCACACAGTTTGCCACGGCCATCCTCGAAAGTTGGTTTCCCAAACAGGCATATCATCACATTCCCAACGTGTCCGTCGCCAATCATGCATGTGTGACAAAGAACTTGTCTCGAGCAGAATGGACAAAGGATGAACTTGAACTCAAGGCAGTTCAAGATGAAGCCGCAGGCCTCAGAACGAACGGCGCTTGGGACGACAGCAGCGTCACCACGTTGAACAACTTGAAAGCACAGGCGAAGGCGACAGGTGTTGAGGTGAAGATAGCATCCCTTCTCACACTGTGTGGCATCAAGTATTGGGAATGTTCCATGGACCAATGGAAGTATAAGGGGCGAATAGTGTACAGGGGTGACCTGATCAAAGACCAGAGTGATCAATTAGTACTCTTTGAAGACACCGCCACGTCTCCGACAGGGCTGACTGCATTGAACATCACGTTGTTCTATGGTATGCTAATGGGGCATTCCACAAGTTGTGGAGATGCAATTCAAGCATGCCTTCAAGCACCCTTGGAAGAAGAGACATGGATCATCATAGGAGATGAACTTTGGTTACCAGCCTGGTTTGATGTTTATCCTCGCGGCACTAAGTTGTGTGTTCGTCTCATGAAAAGTCTTTACGGTCATCCTCTTGCAGGAAAGCTTTGGCAGGAGTACTTAAGCAGTCGTCTCAAAGCGTTGAATGCCGTAGAGCTCGAGGGGTTCCCTTCAAACTTCATCATCCCACGCAAGGGCAACAAACACTTGCTGCTTAACATCTATGTTGATGACCTCACAGTCAGTGGCGAGACATCCTTGCATGAAGAATTTTGGAGAGAGCTTCGCACAATGATAAAAATTGAACCTGAAGTGTACCTTTCTTCTGATGGGATCAGGATACTCGGGCGTCAGCACCGCCTCAACAAGACTCAAAATGGAGCAACTCTAGATCTTGACATGCGATCGTATGCCACCGGCATTGTTGAGTTCTATTGTGGCCTTTGTGGAATTGAGGCAACATCTCTGAAGCGAGTGTCATCACCCGCTCTGCCTGAAAGTTCGATGACTGATCAAGAAGCAGAAGAACAAGGAAGCCTTCACAGTCAAGCATCCAAGGTGCTGATGCGCTTGCTGTGGCTTTCCCGTCTTTCAAGACCGGATTTGAGTTTCATCATAGGGCGACTGGCTTCGAATGCTTCCAGGTGGTCGAGATGGGGCGACCGGCAGTTGTTGAGAGTCATTTCATACTTGCGTTATACATCGGAGTTTGTAACTGTAGCATCTGCGCAATATAACTGCAAGCCAGAGATGCATGTCTACACAGACGCCGACTTTGCAAGTTGTCCGTGGTCTGCAAAGTCAACCACTGGCATTGTGACTTGCCTCGTGACGGGAGATGCCAAGTGGCCAGTTTACTGGCAAAGCAAGAAGCAATCTAGCATTGCTCGTTCAGCCTCTGAAGCAGAGCTTATCGCCATGAGCTCAGCACTCTTTGGAGAAGTTCTGCAGATTCAGGATAAGCTGCATTACCTCTTGGGCGAGCGACCTTGTGTGTCCTTCCAGCAGGACAATCAAGCAGTGATAAAAATAGTTGGAAATCAATACAGCGTAAAGCTGCGTCACTGTGGACGTGTACATCGAGTCAATGTAGCTTCGGTCTCATCTGTCATTACTGAGGAGGAACAGCAGATCAGCTTGACTTACTGCAACACGCAGGATCAGCTGGCGAATCCTCTTACGAAGATCTTGCCACCGGCTCAATGGCCTGAGGCCCTCTGTCAGCTACAAGCTCGAGAATATGTCACATAGTTGTTTCCAACAGGACGGTTGCAAAACAACCATGACTCATGTGGTAATACAAGTACCTACTTCCGTGTTGGTTGATGCATATGACACTTTACTCGAGGGGGGGTTGAGAAATCACAGGGAATCCTACCCTTCTCATGTATAGCTCATACGTGTCATGTTCCATTGTCTCATTTTGCTTATGCACCTTGTACATTTGGCTCAAGCGCTGAAGAAAAGGAGCGTGCGCTTAGCTTTGGTTGCATATTAGCCCTGTACCGTTGAGGTTGTGCGGTACTTTGGATTAACTGACAACTGTATATTTTTAGTTTTCGTTTACGTACCAAATGTGAGTTCGCCCTTGAGATGCGATATGTATATATATATATATATTTATACTGTATCTATGTCTTTGGTGTGTTGCCACTTGTAGATGATTTTCATTCTTTGGCCGAATGTAGATTGCGCACGTGAATAAACACCTAACTTGGTGCGAGCCTGTCGGCGTGCTGTATTGAATGGGTTCGTGGGACCGAAACTATGCGCAGTCACTTGAACATACAAATCGGGCACGGGCAAAAATTATCTAAGTGCGTCGTCTATGGGACATACATTTTGCTTGGATATTGGTTGTTTAAAAGGCAATGTTGTAAAAATTGCACAATGGCGTTTCAAATTATGTTGGAATCCCCTCCAAATCGATCGTAGTGGATTCACCATTAGCCCCATCAACCCCGCAAACTTGCTGGATCTTTTGACCCTCATGGTTTTTGGTCTATGTTCCCTGTTTTCAAACAACGGTTTTCCACATGTCTCGTGGAATGTTGGATCAACCTATTGTCTCTCCCACCTCTTGTCCCTCGCCTCGCATGTGTTGCGGGTTTCTCGCGCCACACTGCAAGTCACCGACCCAGGCTTCCTCAGTAGTAGCCGATGGGCAACACGAAGTGAAGCCCTCGACCCAGACGCAGAATGTCACAGTCTTTGGAGTTAAGTGTGTTGATGAAGATCCATGCGCATCCACTCTTGGAACCGCTACAGCTAACCAAGGGCGATGTTATTGCCAATTGAACATTGGCAGTGTGTTCAATGTGTTTGTTAGGTGTAGGATGTGATTGCCATTCAATGCTTCTGTTTTGAACTCAGGCCTGGGCAGATAGTGATCGCTGCTCCAGCGTTTGACCGCCCTGCGTTTCCACCCTAGTTAGTGCTCGTTTGAGGATAGAATACACTGCACACGATTGCATATGTGGAAGTAATCGGAATTGTATTTATGTAGCAAATCCGCACAAGGAGATACTTATGACAACATGCAACATGCATTCCTTCTCGCAAAACTTGCCAAGTAGTTTGGATTCGTTTGGCATGGGAGTTTTTTCAACTTGTTGCACGAGGCCTGGATCTAAAGGAGGACGGAGACACTGGCAACGTTGCGATAGAGGCGATAGAGTCCCTATTTGGCCTCAGAGTGCCCCGCAGGAGGCAGAGGTGGTTTGCCCGCTGGTGGCTGTGTGTGTCTCAGAGTTGGCATGTTTGCTATAATTCTTCCGCGGCCGATGGTATTTTTGCCCAGGTGCTGACTTGAGTGCTGCCCTGTGCGGTGGTTGCTGTGGGTGCGGCTGCCCATGCAATCCCTGCGGCTGTGCCTGTGGCTGTCCCTGCGGCTGCGGCTGTGGCTGCCCCAGCAGATACCTGTCGAAATTTTCGAACACAGCTCTGCCCGTGGCCCGCATCCTTTTTCTCAGGTGAGCTGGCTGCCTGCGGCAGCTTTGGCATAGGCACACTGGCAGATGATGGCAGATGTGCCAAACCACCTAGACTCTGCAAAGAGGATTTTGGTGCCAAACCGTAGCTTTTACTAATGCGCTGTATGCCTAGAATTGGTGATCTGATCTGCACATAGCACCAATTCGATGGCTCAGAAGGACGGAGCCCTTGGTTTCGGTGTCGCACAGACTCCGTTTGAGCCCAAATGACTCGGTGTTTTCGGCATCCACCAAACTGCACGGGTCGGTCTTCTCGCATCCGCGGCATCAATCCTGCCCGCATTGAAACACCCCGTGAGGTGGCAGCACATGCAGTGGCTTCATGCCAGGCGAACCTGACCCGAACATCCGCATCCACCTCATTGTCGTGAGTCTTGAGACACATGCAGACCCGCTGTGACAGGGCTGATGCAGTTGGTTACGCTTGCATTCCTTCCTGGGCGTTTCACTTGAATGGACACTCGTGATGGTGTGAACTTGGTGCTTCGTGAGCTTGCCACGAATGGCCCCGTCATGTCACAGCGACAGGTTTTGTAAATAATTTGAACACATTGATTCTTGTTATAAGTCAGAAGAAGCTACTAGTTGCGGCTAGTAACAAGGGCATGGCTATTAGTAGCTAATTTGCTAATTACTATTAACAAATTGATTGTGTTATATAGTTGCCGCCACCGAGAAACGGAGGCTGAAGAACGGCCATCCCGAAATCAACCTTTGGCAGCTCAAAGGCCTTCTGAACATGGACAACAAATAATTACCAACAGAAGCAGAAGCACACAGATAGCAGAGAAATGATAACACCTCTGCAAATGACGTGCGCCCTCAAAACCTCTGGAAAGGGCATGGGTTATATAACCTCCGCTAAGCAGGACGTGCATATTGTACGCTAACGAAAGAGAATTCGACAACGGGGAAGCGCTGGGAAGCGTTGTCTTGCTTTTGTTTTCAATGGCATGTTGCAGCTCGGGTGGTGTTGCTTTGAATATACAGCACCGTATCTTCCGTAAAGTCTGAAGGACACGGACATGGACAGACTGCTTTGCCCGGAGCGGCCCTTCTTTGGACCCTGGCACCTATGCATATCCCAAGAAAGGGACGATGAAGTCCAGAAACTTCAAGGGCACCGGCAACGGATGGCAACCGAAAAGGCCAAAACCATAACTTCAACTGATAGCACCAACGCATGGTTCACAACATGACAACCTGCAAGCTTGAAGAACTTCAATGTAATTAGGCCAAGGGCACCTGATGCTCTTAGCACCGAAGAAGCCCAAGCGCAAAAGCTCGAGCGCCACACAGCAATACATTGATGCTGCGGAGGATTACGCATGCACGAATCAGTCTCAACCGATTCGGCACGAATCAGTTTCAGAGTGCCGTACTTCGATGCAGGCAGAAGAATTGTGCATGTGTTGCTATGTTTGCTCCAAGTTTGCATGTAGAATGTAGACTTCCTGTTCCTAGCGGTAAGAACTACTAGTAGCTCTTGGCATCGCTACTAGGAATCCGGGCATCGCTACTAGTAGCAAGGACGCTGGTAGGGGCTCCTGGCCTTACTAGTAACAAGAGGGCGCTACTATTTAGGGTCCTTTCGGGAAAAGCCAAAGTTTGGGGGTTGAATTGCTGTGGCTTCATGGCTCCAAGCCATACCTCCTAAAAGACCAAAGGGCAGCCTATCAGGAAGAACGCCACCAAAAATGTTTTGGTAAATTAATAACCAATTTAGATCAATTTAGCATATATATATACACACACATTCTTCCAACCGCACCAACCAAAGCTTTGGCTTTGTGTCCCTCCTTCTTCCCACTCCTGTGGTTGGGGCAACGACAGGTGTGGCCGCACTGCCCATGATGGGCTGTGCGCCGGGCTTCCCAATGGCAGCTCCGGTGGCGTATCCGCAGACCTTGATGCCGGATGGCTTTGTGTGGCCCTTGGGAAGAGTGGGCCGAAAGTCCACATGATCATGGAACCCCGTATGGGAGAGAAGATTTTCTTACGCAGGTTTAAGTTTAACCTGGTGCAAAATCAGAACTATGTAATATAGCTCCATGTGTTTTTGGTAACGTTTTTCCCCTCGAGTCTGCATAGCTTGAGTCGAGTTTTGTGGCAAGCCTCATTCAGAGTTCGCCATATCCAAGTCATACAGAAAAGCCCATCTTGTCAGACAGACAGACATATCATGACATGACTGTTACTGTTACTGCATCAAAGTTGTCACTGCAAACGTAACTGATTGATCAAGGGATGTATCATCGCGTTGTTTTGGCTCAGACCTTTTCCGGTTTGACAGTTTGACGCTCAGTGGTCGCTATGGAGGACTCATCCAGCACTACTCCGACTCTCCCAAGCTAGGAAACATGAGCACAGCCATGTGCATAAAGTCATCGAAAGCCACCAGCGGTGGAAGTTTGGAGTTGGTGTTATGATATGTTGTCAGTTATCTTGCATGCCAGTATTCCTCAAACATGCACTAGAGGCGTTATGGTTTCACCAAGCTGCACTCCCCGATCCGTATCCTTGGTAGGATGAGTCGGCGCATGAAGTTTTGCAGAGCCTCCGGGAGACGCTGAACCGCACACAGATCGGACTCTTGTCTTATTGAAGAGCGACTCCCGGAGGTCTTGGGTTCAAGGATTTTGTGTTCATTTGGGTGTTCTTGCTGAGAATCCCGCTTGGATATTCCTGACATTCCTTACTTTCAGACAATGCACTTGGTCCAAACTGAGATGGAAGGATGGACCTGAGACAAAGTAGCATTTGTTGTTGTTGTTAGGTATTGGAGTTGGCCTTGGGGCCCTATGAGTGCTTCAAAGACATGGTCGGATTGCATTTCCAGTGGTTTCAGCTGTCTTGCAGCACCTGAATCAGCACCTGACAGATTGAATCAGCTTGGAGCACCTTTAATTCACCTGAGGTGCAGCAGAGCTGATCCGGAAGTTCCAAGTGGATGCAGCTTGGCGATGGATAGCCCCCTTTACAATGTGTCAACCTTATGGCCATTGTGTATGGGCATACCTACAGGCATCTGTGTGCAGCATAGTGAGGCACCGACAGAACTATATAAGCATATACAGTTCACAAAAGACAGGGACATTGAGAAACCACATGAAAGGCTTTGCGGAACCACCAGGAAGAATACCCGAAGAATGACCATGCTGGCCATCAAACAACCTATTAGCCGATAGGAACCGCCCTCCAAAATCAAACATCATCAAACATCACTACTTGGTCCGGCACTAATATGGGTTTCCTTTGAACAGGCTAGGATACCAACGGCCTTGCTTCTTGTCATCATCCGTATTGGATGAAGCTGCATCCCAGCATATGCGTGAGGAGTTCGGAATGGCCGCTTCTGCTCTAGGCGGCCAAGATTTTGCCGAATAGTATGAATAGTATGCCCACAAGAGGGCAAAAAAACATATATATAATGATGCAGCTTTGGTAGAACTCTGCTTGAAACCTTCAAAGCAACGCTTGTACCCGAGCTGATGCACCCGGACATGGCTGTGGAGCCGTTTCGATGCAACAGCCCACTCACAGACCAGTTATTCCTATCCCTAAGGGCCTTAGGGGCCAGGTCAACCCGCACAGAACGGTCTCGGATGCTCTCTGAGTGGCTTTTTTGTCAAGATCAGCCCGAAGCTTTGGTGTCTTCTTGGATGACCTTGATTTGTTTTCATGTTTAGGAAAGGGCTTTCCTCGTACGCCCGCCGATAAGTCTTTTGTCCATCCCAAACACATACCCCCAGTTCATCGTAGTTCGTTTCTTCCACGTTTGTGGTATGCTCAAATTCCTCAAGCTCTCCGTGAATGTCTGGCTCGGTGTCAAAGATAGGGATAGGCAGTAGCCCCATCCTCATGCCACCCTTCTACGGCATCTATTTCTGAGTCATTATATATTTATTGTTTTCATTGGTTTGTGCAATGCTTCTTCAACAGGAAAGGACAATTCTTTTCCCAATGCTTGAGGCACTACCTTTTATGCTGAAGCTTTTCCGACGAGTCCAGCTGTACCAACATCGCTTTAACAATCTGGTTCCAATCCTATTCATTTCTGGCTTGTCTGAGAATACTTCGCCGTTGAGCTGCATCTCCACTGCCCCCTGCAAGAGAAAGCTTGTTGCAACTTATTCTCAAGTAGTGTTGGATGCTTTGATGCGGTTTTCGCTTGCCTCCCTCAAAGAAGTAGTCACTAGTTAGTATAGTGACGGACAGACACTTAGAACATGAACACATTTCAAAGTGTTTCGGAGACACTTAGAACATCAAAAGAAAACCACACTTAGAACAGGAATACTTAGAACATTGTATATGTCTCTGAACATTTACATTATAATGCCCTAAGGTCTGCTGCAAGAATGTATTTTGCTTGCTGCTTCCAACAAAGATTAAACTCGAGCATCACACAACGCACCTTTTCTTCTTTCTTCAACTAATCCTAGGTATCTTCCGGAAGTAAGCCTGCAAGCGTGTTGAAATGCCCCACCCTTTTGGTGAGTATGAGGCTGTCGCACACACACTTCTCGAGCAGCAATGTTCTAAGTGTGGAGTTCCCTCCTGCAGTTGTACATTGATGTTTATAGCTACATCTCCTGCACATGGGCAGCAGAAAGATCGTCCCTAAGTGACCATCCAATTGATCAAGATAGCATTGCCCATGCTGGAAGCTAGTTGCAACACATCTCACTTAGAACATCCAGCCCTTTTTCACTTAAAAAGCCAGATATATTTAATATATCTGTTTTTCAGACCAAAAAATGCTAATGATGCAGCCGGCCGCGGGCAGCATCATGCAAACCACGTCAACTCAAGATGGATCACCCTATGCCTGCAACCAAATCTGACACTTGTCTTCCAATTTGTGCATCCAAGTGTCTTAGTCATCGGCGGGGGTTGTGTGGAAGTTGAGCCAAAATTTGGCTGCGGTGGTCCAAAACTTGATCCCCTGCATTATCTTATATATATATATATATTTATATATAAATAGATACCCCTGGGACAGACAAAAACTTAGAACATCCAGGAACCATAACTATGAAAACATGTGGGTAGTCCTAAGGTGTTGTTCTAAGTGTGGGGTTGAGATATGTTCTAAGTGACGTTCAGGGTCATACTTAGAACATCACCGGCCAACTATTTTGTTCCCAACATTTCACAGTGATGTTCTAAGTGTCTGTCCGTCACTATAGTCCTCAAATGCCTGCTTCTTCAGGAGTGGTGCCACTTTATCACAAGCGCTACATACATTTTTTAGAACATATTTTTCCAATAGATCACTAAAATGGCTGCTTCTTTGGGTCCTGTAGAGGCTGTTGCTTCTGCTTCTGAGATGACTACCTGGCCCGCCGATTCAAAGTTGCCAGAAAAACCATGAAGTGCGTTCTTCAGCTTCGCGGCATACCAGACTCCATTCCTTTTCCATTAGCATTGAAATCCAAGCCATACACGTGTTGCATTCTGCACAAAGAGGATTGCCATTGTACTGAACGACGACACTGTCCGCATAGAGAGGCTGCGGCGGGGTTTGCAATCACCTGAGTCCGGCAAGCACAATGCCAAAGAAGGAGCAGTGCAGCATGCGAAATGAATTCTGGCACTATAGTTCCTTCACCTTGCCCAAAACAGTGATGCCAACTCTGATCCAACTGCTCGATACGGCAACAAGAACACCTGATTCGCACCTTCCAGAAATTATAGGGCAGTGTGGTCGAACGACTCGTGTCAAGACTACAAGCTGACCTGATGCTCCCCCTTTGAACTGCTGGAGATTCAAGCCAAAAGCTCAAGCAAGGCCTGAAGGGCCCAGGAAGTAGCGTTCTTTGCTCCTCATAGTAATGCCCTTTGTTACTAGTAGTAATGCCCTTTGTTACTAGTAGCGATGCCCTTGTTGCTAGTAGCTTCTTGTTACTAGTAGTAAGGCCAGGAGCTACTAGTAGCACCCTATGCGCAAGCAACGGTGAAGCTTCATGATTCAAGGCTTGAATGTGCATACTCTTCACAGTGTATACTTTGTGGACACTTTTTTGCACAGACTCGAAGCTGTTGGTGCACTTTGCTATAGGGAGAATTGGCACGGCTCTTGTGATTTACTTGATTGCAAGCGCTTCGGCTGCTACTGCTTCCCTTGCTCAGCCGCCACCAGTCACAGGACCAGGGCACCTGCGATGCTACTGCTTTTCGAAACGCCCTCTCAGATTTGGGTCTTGATCTTGCAGATGAACGCTTCGACTCCCTGGTGAACGTGCTGGACAAGGAGTGCATCGGAGCGCCGCATTTTTCGGGATCTGAGATGAAAGTGACAGGACAGAAGAACTTGCCGACAGCACCAAGCATACTTCAACATTTTTCCCTTTGATTACGAATTTAGTGGTTGCAAGGACAACGAAGGCAGGATCATGCTGAAGCACCTTGAGGCCAGACTGAACCGCACTTCCTCAAAGCAAGTTCGTACGCAGCTTGGCAGCAGCACCTCCCTGGTTTCTTCGGATGAGTGCAATACTTGCCATCAACAACGGGGGGCTTGTGAAGGGTTTGCAAGGGATTTTTTTGCATTGTTGTTGCGTCGCGAGCGTTTGCTGTACCTTGTCTCTCTTAAAACTTTTGAATTTTTCTTTCCAGGCAAGAGGCTACAGCTAGAGTTGCTTTTTAACAATTGAGCACCCTGATTCAGGCAAGTCTCGGTCATGTGGAAGGAGCCAAAAGCATGTGACTACTTTCACATACTACCTACATTGCAAGCACATGGGAAGGTATCCGCAGGCCAGCCCTTGGCACAGCGACCGGACACGCAGGACCGAGATGCGATATCAGAGGCCGGTGATGGCACCGCCAGGGTGGGCGACTGGCTGCCCAGCGGCTCAACTGCGTTGGATGTTTGCTGCTGACTTTTGACAAGATTCTCAAGAGGTTTCCTATGGTTTCTATGAGGCGAAGACAAGCACGGCTGCCTGACAGAGCGTGAAAGATGCTGACTTGCAATATCTTGCGTTCGACGGGAATGAACTGCAAAAACTGTTTGGAATGCTTCGCTTGGGGCAGCAGATGCTTCGCTCACACCTGAGGACGAATGAACAGCCACCGCAGAAGACCGGTGCAATTGGAGCCAATGACCAGAAGCGACTTTGTCATGGCAAACATCAAAGGTGTGCTCAATCGGAGGTGCCCACTGAAGAAGCTACTAGTATATAACAAGGTGCATCGCTACTAGTAGCAAGAAGCTACTAGTAGCCAAGTGCATTGGTACTGCTACCAGTTGGCATTGAGTTGGCATTCCCTTTCTCTTTTGCACAGCGCTTTGCCACGCTTTGTGGCTTGTTATTGAATCGGTTTCAACTGGTGCTGCCTGCAGGAAAATCCGTTCCGTGGAAATCTTTAGGCAGCTGGCTGGCAACCAGCATTGTCTAAGTGAATGTATGTTATACGTGTCAGCCTGCTGTGGAAAGGTTTTGCATTGGAGTGGATCTGTATGGGTACAGATTTGTGATCTTGCTTGGTAGTGAGTAGTGCAAAACAATGGTCCCAAAGCCTTGTGGTGGGGCAGTAGCACCAAGGTTTCTGGATACCAATGGAAACGGAGGCGTGTCTCCTGAAGAGCTGGCACGAGGCTTACACAGGCTGTGGGGCTTTCACAAAGGAGACGACCATTTCAACAGCCCCGCTTTCGCCCAAAGGAGACGCCCTCGGCCGAGAGATGCTGAGGAATTGTTGCACACGATGCTTCCATTATCTGCCAACTGGTTATTTTCCGTTTTTTTCCTGGCAGGTTGGGCGTACACAAGCTGAGGGATTCTGAGCTGGAGGAAGTGGTTGCAAGTCTGGACACCGATAGGAGTGGAGACATTAGCTTGACTGAGCCTTCCAGCTGCATTGGCGCTCTATCAGCTAGCACCCACCTCACACTTGTAAACTGACACTCGCAAGAGTTATATAGTCTTCCAGCTTTTGCCTGGAGTCTGGGCAGTTTCAGCATCGGTCTTTCTTTGGAAATTGAGGTTTGACAAAGCCTTGCGCCTGGCTGAGAAGAAGGCACGCGCAGAAGGTCGCACCGATCTGGTTGATAAATGGAAGGTGCCTCCTGAGCTCCTTGGCTGACATGCCAGTGGCTGCTTGAAGGTCGTTCAAGTGTCCTGTGGCAATTCCAAACGACATGCACGACAGATCCCGCAAGCTAGTTTTACATAGTGGGACAATCGAGCGCTGCTTTCGATCATTGCAAGGCTAATGCTGGACTATGGCCAGAAGTACGACTGGTCGAAGCGGACGCTGAAGTTCGATGGCAGGTTTACTGGGCAGGATGATACCTTGTCCTCTGGAAAAGTCACGAGCCGTGACATCGACCAATCCTTGCACTCCTTGGACTTTGATCCAGATGACTTGGAAGAGTCGAAGACCTCGCAGTGGACTTCCAAAAGCTCAAAAAGTATCCTAGTTCAAAGAGTTATATAGGGCTTCAGGTGCATGAGGTGAGGCGCATGTTTAAGTTCCCCAAACAGGGGTTCTTACGGTAGGGGAAAGGAAGGTGTGCTTAGATCGCTGTTCCGCGCGGGCGTGTCCGGCCAATTCGTTGCTATTTACAGTACATTCATGCCTCTCGACATCGTCCATGTGCACTTCGACTGCGCAGGCTCGCAGAATCTGGGTGGCCGCGGCGGGTGTGTCTAGCGACTGCGCTCTCGTTGTGGTGCCGTGCGCATTTCGGTACATGGTGGTCACTTTTCGTGACAGGTGCAAGGGAACCTCTTGTTTTGGTGCTCCAAAGTCGACTTTTCGTGACAGGTGCAAGGGATCGGAGTTGTTTTACTTCGAAATGCAGTTTTCGTGGCAGGTGCAGCACTTTGGACATGGTGGTGATCGTCAAGGAGCTCAGATTGCGTGACAGGTGCAGTGAATTGTGACTTTTGGACATGTGGCTCGTTTGCAGATTTCGTGGCAGGCACAGCACTCTGTGACCCTCGATGTGCAGATTTCGTGGCAGGTGCAGCTCTTGGTGAACCTCGAAGTGCAGATTTCGTGGCAGGCGCAGCACTTGG